GAGGTAGTGGTATTAACATTTCATTAATAAGACTTGAAACCAATTTTCTGGTTGTTTCAAAATTTAGTTGCTGTGAGCTTTTTGCAAATCCTGTTAAGTAAAAGATATATCTTGTAATCTTTCATGCATTCATTGAGTTAAAGTCTAGATTAGATAAGTAATCTGTTGCTAATTTAATTTGTAATAGTTCAAAGATTTGGTCTCAATTTTTTTTGTTTGTTGCTAGTATGTTGTATTGTTTTTTATAGATATCTAAAACTTATATAAATAAATTATTAAATTCTGTTTAATGTTGTGATCTGATTGCAATAATTCTCATAAAGCTTCTAAAAAACACTGTATCTCTATGAAACAATTTTGTTGCAATTGCTTTTGGAATATAATTTGTTGTTGGTTTAATAATAAGTTTATATCTAACTAATTCCTTGATTTCATCATAGAAGATTAGTGCAGCTTTGATTTTTAGTTGAGTCCAGGTTGTTATATTGAACATCTCTAGTCTATCTTATCTAATTTCTTTTAAAGCTGATTGTGTCTGCTTGTACCATTCTTTTTCTTTGTTACTGTTGAAGCTATTTGAAGTTTTTTTATTTTTTTCTGAAAGATTTTTAATAACTGTCTGACTATATGATATCTTTTTTTGTGTTTATTCCTCTACAATTGTGTCTATTGAATGTGTTTCTTCTTTTTTGTTATCTATGTTTGTTGTGTCTTGGTCTACTTCTATATTTGGTATTTGTTTATTTATATCATCATTCATATATGTACTAGGTCTAGAAGCTAATTCTAACTGGATTAGTTTGTTTACATTGACATTTTGTTCTTGTATAGAAAGATTTGTGTTAGTTGTGATAGGGGCTTGGATCAGGCTCTGGCAATTTTGTGAATCTGTGTGAATATTTTTTTCTATTGGTCAGTATGAGTCTGGAATTAGATTTGTTATTGTTTTCATTTTTACTAGTGATGTCATGTCTTGAGAATTCAGAGTTAAACTAGAAATTCCTTTTTCTTTAGAATTTTCTTTTATTGCATTTTTTCTAGTATTTGTTTGAACTGGAATAGTAGTGTTATAGTTAGTTTTTCACTTTTTTTCTTTATTTTGTTTGCCTATTGTATCCATGTTATCAATATATATGTAAACAGATCATGTTTTTTTCCTTTAGACTTCAGTCACGTGTGTTTTGTTATTATTTTTCTTATTGTTGTCATTGTTTATTTTAGTTGCCAACGTAGTCAGCAATAAGGTTGTAAAGAGGACAGGAGTGCAGAAGGCACTTTCTCTACTTCATTTAATCTTTGGTAACTTTGTTGTTGTTATTTGTTGCAAGTTATTCTTATTTATTTAGTTATATATTCTAAATGTGCCTAGTTGCAATTTGATATTTGTTTACTATGTAAAAAATGATTTACGGGAAAGAGTAATAATAATATTTCTATTTGTGAATAAAATAAAAATTTAACAAATACGTCCGGGATTGCGTGAGACAATACGATCAAATTAAATTTTTTTTTGTTGCATTATTTATAATCGCCAGTGTATTTGTATCTGTCATAGCATATATATAGAACTACTTTTTGTATCCAGTAACTTTGCATAGTTACTACTTAAAGACTATGAATAAAGATATGAGCAAGGCCTCACCTTAACATCAAAAAAAAATTCAACAAAATATATATTTAATATAATTGTATTAAATTTATTTATTATTGAATCGTATTTAAATTTTTAGTAAACAAATAGTTTAACTATATGGATTTTATTTTTGACGTTTACTTGAAATAACTTGGTTTTAGCATTAATAATAAGCAATTAAGATGTCCGATTGCTTTCTTAATTATATACTTATCCTGAAATGACACGATTCGAGCCATTTATTAAGTGAATAATGGGGAATTAAATATCTCGTCATTATCATTAAGTATCATGGCTTTATTAGACACCCCGACAGAGCACTACTCCACACAATTGTTTACTAATACATGTTTACTTATACATGTTTACTTATACATGTTTTGGATATAGAGCAGATGATTTTTATTCTCATATGTTCAGAATTCGTAAGGACAGAATATGTGAAAATTAATAATAATCGGGAAAGAATTTCTCAAATATTTATAAAAAAAAATGCCATAAATTTTTATAAATTCAAATAGTTTGGCTCACGACAAAAGTTTCTAATTCTTCAACTACAAAGCTATTCGTATCTAAAATCGTATTTTCATAGTAACTTTGTGAGCAAGAACCACTCCCGCCATTTAACAGTAGGTCAGAATTTCCAAAATTCATCCAATACCCGTTGTAATTATAAATTGCATATGAGGAGTTTTTAACGCGACTAAGTATATGAACATCGGAACCTTCTTCATCTCCAAAACAAAAAATAAAACTACATTTATATTAATAGGAAAAATTATATAACATGCCTACAATTTATCAAATTAACAAATAAATAATAACACCATACCTATCATTAGTTGATTCCCACTGCTGTCGATAACGATTACTGCCACTATAACGGTTGTTATTATTTCTTAAGCCTAGAGGGTTATATCCGCCGATTATTTTTTTTGAATCTTTGATCTTAATTAATCCGATAATTGCACCACTACTATTATTATTCGCGATAAATTTATTATATTCAAACCCATCTCGTGTTGCTCGATAAGTAAGCGTAAATTGGTAAAAAGGCTTCCTAGAGAAGATGGTTCTTTTTTCGATCCAATTAATTATTATTGCAGCTTTATCCTTTTCAATGATAGCAGAATCTATATTAATAGATCCATAACGTGGATGCAATTTTGAAACTTTGGGAGTTATATTAGCCATTTGATAAGCCATCAAATCTTCATAAAGATCTTTCGGTATCGCTTTTTTATAAGGTCTAACATGATGAAAAAATTCTTCGCTGGAAATTTCATGAAGTCGAATATGAGGTATAAACGGATCCAAAGATTTTTTAAATAATGCAAAATCACTTTTTTCCCACTTAGTGACATCCATCATAGATTTTTTGTTAGAAGAAATTGATGCTTTCCCCCATTTTATCAAATATTTCCAAATATCAATTTCTTCAATATCAAGATCGTCTCTCTCGACAAGTTTTAAAAAGATATCTTTATCCAAATTCGGAAATTCCTCCAATTCAAGAAACGGTTTTGGATTTTTACAAATAGTTTTCATAATATGATCTTGTAATGTCGTGCAACTTTGAAGCTTGAAGACTGTGCGCAAAACGATAATACAATTGGCGTTTAACCAAGATGATTTTTGACTAATGAGCTAAATTTATTTATAATTACAATTTTAATCACGATTATAATCTAATTGTTAATATTAGACATGTTAAAGTAAGAATCCTTACATGCTTTTGGATTTGATCAACTAATTTATCAAGCATTAATTCATCAGATGCAACAAGAAGAGAGAGAATGTTAGAACTTGATTGATCAGTTAGATCAATAATTCCCGTATAGATATAGCTTTAAAATTAAGACAATAAAGAGTAAGAAATATAAGAATTCATACATTTAATCAAATTAGCTTAACATACCAAAGGATAAAACGAAATACATCTGATGAGATATTTGACTTTTTAAAAATGGTAACACCACTTTGAGGGTTTGCCCATTGATTAGATAAAGCAGCTTTAAAATAAGGTGATCTGGCACGCAAAACATTTGAGTGTGCTTTAAATTCTTTAAAATCTGATATTTCACCAGCTTGAATAACAACATCGTAATCATCAGATGCGTCGAGAAGTTGAGAAAAATCTTTTGAAAGATCTTCAAATAATTTAACAATAAACATGATTGTCGTTATTGCTCAGAATTCATGAATGAAAGTCATGCATTATTTAAAAATGGTCAAAAGGTCTGATTTAGGGTGTAACCCAGCTTGATTTTTCGTTAAAACCGAATTAAACATATATAGATACTACAGATGATCAACTCGTACAGATTTCCGGTCGGAATACCCCGGAATCATGATCGGTGGAGTCGGAATTACCAAGATCACCAAAGTTTTATTGGTGAAGTCGTAGTCCACACATTAATGTTAAGTAAACTGCCCAACCGATGATTTTGGTCTAGAAATTGTTGACTTCAGGGACACGGAAATTATGTGATTTGATGTGATTAAACAAAATCACACTAAATCACATAAATTTATCTCACTTGTATTACGTTGTATCGCGTGTATTCGTATTAAATTTTTATTGTCACAATATGTCAATATATATATGTAATATGGTAGTAGTATATTAAATTAGTACTGAATAAATAAAATATTTTTTCAAATTTGAAAGAAAATTTTATTATAATATGGGTTCAAAAAGAGTCTTGTTAAATAGTAGAGCATCTGAATTTAATGATGATTTTATTATAGATGGGAATTAACTTATGTACAAGTTTTGTCATTATAGTGTTTGTTATAAAGTTCAATCAGTAATAGTAGCACATCTTGAAAGTAAGAATCATAAACAAAAAAAAGTTGCTGCAGAACATGCAAATATTCAAGCATAATAATTAACACTTTCAATAGCAATTCAAGTTACTGAATCCAAAAAGAATATAGTTATATTATTTATCAAAATGTTAGTAAAAGCAAATATTCTACTTAAAAAAACTAATAAACTATGATTATAAATTAGACAAAATGTTCACAAAAAAGGATTAATACCTGTTACAGATATATTATAATAAAAATATTTATCTATTGTTTTTGATCAAAGTATTACAAAACTTAAAAATTTTTTTCAAAATAAAAAAATATCAATAATTTAAATAAAACATTTGATTCTTATACCTGTAATGTTATAAATATTTTTTTTTCTTATTATAGTATTACTAAATTAATTAAAATAAGTTTTTTAGACCAAATTAATAATAGAATTATTGAAGAATTAATTATTCAAATATTTTTTTTTTGATATTAAGATGAGGTTTTGCTCATATCTTTATTAATAATTTTAATTGTATATTTTAGTACAATAGTACTGAAATAAACTAAGGTTGTTTGTAACAAAATAAAAATTACATGCAAGAATGAGAGCTCAGACTAGTTTATTTGCAACCTAAACTGACTATAGTGGTCAAGGCCCACCTAGATTTGAAGTGTTAGTATATAGTTAGAAGGAATATTGTATTTGATCCAGAAAATTGATCAGATATTAAGTTTTCTAATTGTTTAACTGATTGGTGAACATATATTGGATTGTAAATAAAGTTAATCTGCAATGCCACATAGGCATGAGTATGTATAAGCTTGGTGATATTGTTTAGAGATTCTATGATTTTGATGTTGTATATTAGTACTGCTAATATTATTTTGGTATCTTGGTAGGATTTGGTTATGTTTTTTCTAATTGGAAAATTTAATGCAGTATGGTTTCCAAATCAGTTTATAGATTTGTTCATTGACATATAAAAGTATTTAAATTACTATTTGTAAAGCTAATTATAGAGGTATATTAAAGTTGTAAATAATTTCAATAAGTGATTTAGGTATAAGTCCTTTAAGTATAATGTTTATAAAGTGTAGATTGTGTTAAAATGGTATGCAATCAAAGCATGAATGATGGCATATATTAGAACCTAGTTCTTGAAATTAGGAAGGTGATAAATCCAGTTTAGTCTTGAAAAGTATTTAGTTAACAGATATATAAATGATATAAAGAAATGTGTTATGTGTATTAGAGCATGTATGCCAGTGTGTAGATGAGTTAAGTAGATTGTATTAGAAGCAATTAGTATTGGTAAAGATATGAGGATATCTATTATGAAGAAAGAATTGAGTAGGTAGCTCATTTAGTAAGAATTTAGATTTAAATACTTAAAGTTAATTAAGTTTAAAATTGGTATGCAGAGATATAGGTTTTTGGTTGTGATTAAGATAAAGCCAAAAGGAAGTCCAGTCTATAAGATGGTTTAGGTGAGACTATTCACTATTTCTTTTTTGTGAAACCTATATTGTAAATATATATGTTTTGCATATATTCTTGATAAAATATTTAGTTGGTAGCTCGATAAAGTTTTGTTCCTATTGAAGAATATGGTAAGGGTTATAGATATTAGTATAATTAAAGATAAGGGTTGAAGAAGTATATGTTGTTTTGTTAGGAAGTCTGCAAGGTTATTGAAAAGATTATTAGTATGGGCTTGAACTTTGTGAAAGATAATTTGAAGGTTGAAGGATTTTATAATATTAAGTAGGATATGCTATAAGGGCCATGTGCTAAATTTAAATAACTTGTTAGAGTTTTGTAATTAGTTTGATAGTGTTTAAATTTTGAAATAACAGATTGTGAGTCTGTGTAGATGCTAATAGATAAATCACAAGGTATAATAGATATTGCAGATAGAATTAATTATTCAAATATTAGTTAAATAGTTTATTCCTTTAAATATCTTTATTTTATTATTTTTGATTTAGTTACATATATAAAAAAATAATATTATGAAGTTTTAAATCTGTTTTTAGTACAATTGATTTATAGTTTTTGTTTAGTACATATCATAAATTTAATTGGTAAGATATAAATTTTTGTAAATTATTTTAATATTATTAAAACATTATTTAGCTAAATTAAGCAAACATTTATTTCAAAAATACATCAAATTATTATATTTATTATTTTTAATACAATGTAATTATTACATCAAAAAATCCTATTTCTGACTAAAACTTATTAGAATTTCTAATATCAGATTTATAAACAGAAATTTATCTGATTGCCTAATATAAATCAATTGTTTAGGTAACTTATTTATGTATTTTAGAGTAGTTTTTAAAAATACAACATTACACAAATAATTATTCTTAACAAATATTATCTTTAAATTCTAAGAAGTACTAAAAAACCAACTTTAAAAATAATCTCTAATAATCTTTAATTTAAAAGAAATTGGCTTAGATATAACTTTTTGTAAGAAAAAAAAAAAAAAACTATATTTAAATTTTAAAATACACAAAAATAAAATTAGGTTATTAACAAATCAGTTTTTTTTTTTATAAAACTTGAAATTTCAAATTAAGTATTTAAAAAAAATAAGTTTGTTTATATATAAGATTTATGCTTTATATTTAAAATATTTTTAAATTAACTTGATTTGTTAAAACATATGAATTTATTAACTATAAATATCAACCTAAATTTATAAATAGTAAATTTAGTGATTCAAGCTTTGTTTTATTATTTTAATTTTATTTTATATGTATTTATCTAACTTTTTATATGTATTTATCTAACTTTATATATATATAAATCAATAAATCATATATATTTATTAATTTGTATAAACTTTTTTTTTTTTTTTAATATTAACAGTGAGGCTATGCCTTTAACTTTATTGAAATTCAATTGAAGTTTTTACAAAGA